TGGATGACGTACCTGTCGTAGACCTTGGAGCCCAGCTCCCTGGCCAGGACTGCCAGGGACTCCCCTTGTGGAGACAGATCATTGAGGACCTGGGAAAGGGGAAGGCAAAGAAGGTCTTAGCAAGGAGGAACAGAGAGATACAGCAGCGAGACAGAGCAGGAGTTAAAGCTGCTGTGCACAGAGCACAGAAAGATGCTGATTTTCATGATACTGAACAGATGGTGAGGAAGGAAAAACAACCAGGACAGAGCATGGATTTCTCTGGCTGCTCTGCAGAGGGAGCAGACAGCCTGCAGCTAATAACTTGGTAAACCTCTTAGGAAATTCCAATTCTGCTCAAGTGGGACATTAGTGCTCTGTGACAGCCCCATGGCTGACAGTCCAGCCCCACGCCTGGGAGGGCAGAGCAGGCTCCTACCTGCAGCATGATGTCCACATAGTCCTCATCTGGCAGCAGACACAGGTAGGGGTAGAGGACGCTGTACTTGGACAGCCTCTTGGGCCTGGTCATGCTGCGCTTGGAGTTCTGCAGGGCCTGCAGGATGGCATCGTGCCACTGGGAGCGGAGGGTGCCCAGCAGCTCCCGCTGCATGGGAAAGGAAGGGAGAGGGCTGGTCAGCATGAGCTGCCCCCTCTTTAGCTCGTGGACCCTCAGCCCTCACCCACAGGTCTGAGGGCTGCCCCAGCCCCGAGCTTTACCGCTTTGATGGCCTGTGGGCTCAGGGGCTTGGCTGCCTCCACTGACTCGATGGTCACCGTGTTCTTCAGCTCCATCTCCAGCTGCTGCTGGAAGCGCTCCTGCAGCTCCTTCTCGGAGAAATCCAGCTTGGGGTACGACCCCATGGTCTCCTGCAAGGGGAGAGAGGCAGCCAGTGCTGAAAGTGGGAGGAGAAGCCATGCTCATTCTCCCAGCTTCCCTGCAAGAGGCTCGTTGTACAATTCTGGGCTCAAAGCACCTTGCTGGGATCTCTGGGCCCAGAGGTCTCTGGCAGACAAACCCCAGAGGCTGCTCTGCTCCTGTGGTATGGCCAAGCACCTCCCCAAGCACCCCCTCCCATGCATGGAGGCCATCTCCAGCCCTCTGCTTTGCTGTTCCCCTGTAAGGCTGTCAGTAATGTCATTCCTCTGATGATTTGTGTGAGCTATTGGGCAGAGATCAGGTGCAAAGGTTCTTTCTTGCTAGCCCTCCCCTGGGCTGTACCTAAGAACACCTGTGAACATCACCAGGCCAGCTTCAACACCTCCCTGAGCGCTGTGGCTTACTCTGGAATAGAAATCCTGGAGCAGAGAAGACTTGCAGATCTTGGGGCTGGGTGGAGGGGGCAGCTGGTAGTTGGGCTGGACAGTCCTGATGGCCCACAGCACCATCTCCTTCTCGTCTTCCTCAAACAGGCACTTTTGGAACAGCTCATCCACATGGAAGCCACTGCTGTTCAGCTTCTGCAGGTATCTGAGGAGGGGCAGACAGGACAGGCTCAGTCCTCCCCAAGGGCCTGAGCACATTGTGCAGGAGCTGCCTCAGCACAGCCTGTCCCACAAGGTCACCCCCCGCCTCAGGTTACAGGGATCAGGTGTCCATCCCTCAGCCTGCACTGCTGCAGAGCTGCTGGGCAGGGAGGCCACTGCAGGAGCCAGCTGCCCACGGGCAGCCCCACAGCCTGTGCTGCACTGACACAGCTCCACACCACCCAGCACAGTCACTGCCAGCCCCCTCAGAGTGTCAGCTGACTGGAGACACTGCCCTGAAGGCATCTAGGACTTGTCAGCAGCCAAAGGGCAGAGAGACCAGTGATACACCCCTGAGGTACAGCACTAGTGCATCAGAAGCTTTCTCCATCCTCTGGAGAGGAGCTGGCTCTGCCTCCAGCCCCAGGCACTGCTCTTAGGCCCAGCCTGTGGGATCTTCCAGGGCTCTTTCAGCTGCTCCCTTTAGCATTGACATGTTCCTGTCCATTATGCTCCATGAAATCTACCTGAATCTCCTCACCAAGCTCCTCTGGAGAGCCCTGCAGGAAGCAGCTATGTGACTGAGCCCAGCAAAATGGGCAAACTCCACTGAAATGCCATAAAAACAGAGAAGCCAAGCTATTCTCACCAGGCAGCAACAGAGGGGCCAGAAGGAGTGAAATTCCTGGCATGGGTGTGGAACCAAGGAGTCCCTGACTGCAGAGGGCCTCTCCCAGCCCAGCTCTGGGGGGAACAGTGTCTGTTGTCACCTTCCACATCTCCTCTCCCTGCACAATCTCAGACGAACTCCCCAGCAGCTGGGGGTGGCAGGGAGGGTGCTCTGCCCACCCCAAAATCTGGCCATGGGAAGTGTCTCAGAGCATCCAGGTGGGCACAGAGAAGGGTCAGCTCTTCCTGACCCCAACCCACTGCATCCCCCAGCTCACCAAGCACAGCACGTGGAGCTGCTGCCCCAAGGCTCAGCAGCACTGAGGCAGGAGTTACCTCAGGATGGCTTTGGGAGGTGACTGGCTCCGGCCCAGGCACTCCAGGGCCGCGGCGTACGAGTCCAGGTTGGGCCGGAGGCCAGCAGCCTCCAGGATGGAAAACAATCTGTCCAGGCGACTCAAGGAGCCCTGCAGGAGAGAAAGGGAGGGGAGGAGCACACTGAGAGGGGAAGGAGGCTGAGCACACTGATAGGGGGGCTGAGCACACTGAGAGGGGAAGGGGCTGAGCACACTGAGAGGGGAAGGAGGCTGAGCACACTGATAGGGGGGCTGAGCACACTGAGAGGGGAAGGGGCTGAGCACACTGAGAGGGGAAGGAGGCTGAGCACACTGATAGGGGGGCTGAGCACACTGAGAGGGGAAGGGGCTGAGCACACTGACAGGGGAAGGGGCGGGGCTGTGCACACTGATAGGGGGGCTGAGCACACTGAGAGGGGAAGGAGGCTGAGCACACTGATAGGGGGGCTGAGCACACTGAGAGGGGAAGGGGCTGAGCACACTGAGAGGGGAAGGAGGCTGTGCACACTGACAGGGGAAGGGGATGAGCACACTGACAAGGGGGCTGTGCACACTGACAAGGGAAGGAGGCTGAGCACACTGAGAGGGGAAGGGGATGAGCACACTGACACCAGCAGCCCCAGAATCACAGCTCCACAACCCTCTACTCCTGTCCAGATTTAGTCAGATCCACCCTACCCTTTCCCCACTCCTTTCTTCCTCTCCAAGCCACCTCTCACAGCTCAGCCCCCCTTGCCAGAAGCACTGCTTGAACCCTTGCTGAAGCGACAAGCCCAGGCAAAACCAGCTGGAGGCTCCTCCTCACGAGGCAGCCCCTCTCCCCCCTGGAGCACCCACAGCTCGGTACCTTCCTGGCCCAGATGCGCATCACGACGTTGAAGGCACCAATGTCCATCACCTTCCTCTTCACTGGAGAGCTGTGGCACAGCAGCAGGTACCTCTCGGCCTCCTCTGCCTGCTGCAGGAACAGGAAGCACTCCAGGTTGCACTGGATGGTCTGCTGCAGCACCTGCTGGTTGCTCTTGTCCTTTGGCATCCTCTGAGGCCTCTTCAGTTCTGCAGCTTCCTTCACTTCCACCACCCTGGGCTTGTTGTGGGCGCTGCCAGAGCTCTGGTTCCAGGCAGTTGCTGCTTTTGTCTTTGGGATCTTTGGGCTCTTGATGGTTTTTGCTTTGGTTGTGGACTTTGCCTTGACCTCCGCCTTGGCCGGGCCCTCCAGAGCCAGCTGGGAGGCAGCACTGCCCAATTCCTGCTTCATCTGCAGCTGCTGGCTGTACATCTCCTCCTGCAGCTTCTTGGCCCAGGGGCCGGACCGGGCCAGGCCATCACCCCGTGCCCTGGGAATGGGTTGCTTCTCCTTGGGGCCAGGGACCACAGCCTCCTGGAACTTGTCATTGTCCAGTGCAGCCAGCTCCACTTTGCTGACTGTCACCTCACTGCCTTGGAGCTGCTTGGCTCGAGCTTTCAGCACTAGTGGGAAACAGAGAGGTGATGGGAGACAAGGCACAGCAAAAGGCCCTGTCCTGTCCTCACTCTGAAAGTACCAGAATCATGCTCAGAAAAAAGGGTTCATAGAAGAGTTTCATCTCTCCTTGGAGCCCCACTCCAAAACAGAGATACCAACCTCTGTGTGTTTGAGATCTACCTGCAAGCTGGGTCCACCCCAGGAACCCATCCCAGCATGCCAGGAACCCACCCCAGCATCCCAGGAACCCACCCCAGCATCCCAGGAACCCAGCAGTGTCACTGTCAGGGAAAAAGCAACAGCCCAGGCTGGTGTGCCTGCTGTCTGCTCACTGCATCTCTCCCAGCACTCACCTTCCAGCAGCTCTGTCCTCTCACAGGGGCCATTCCTGTTTGCCTTCTCCTTGGTGCTGGCAGAGGAGTAGCTCCTGAAGATCCTCCATGGAATCCCTGCCGTGAAGAATGCAGAGGTGTGTGGGTCAGAGGAGGCTCCACACCCTCAAGCACTGCCTGTGCCCCAAGGCCCCACTCGGACACGGCATGGACAGAGTGAGAGGGGGATGTTGGGGATGTTTCCCAGTAGTAGCACAGGAGGGACAGGGCCACCCCTCAGCCCCGGAACCAGAGGCTCAGGGACACAGAGGCCCCAGGGACACCACAAACCGCAGCGCTGCGAACGGGGAGCAGCACCCCGCGACCCCCGGAGCAGGCGGGCGCTATCCCCCAGCTGGACACGACCCAGAGCCCCCGTCTCAGCCCTTTGGAGAGCAACACCACCCCAGCCCTTCCACAGCCCCGCCTCCAGCCGTGGGGCCCTCACGATGCAGAGACTCTCCCATCTCCCAGGGGTAACCCTCAGGATCGCGGGACGCCCCGGCCCAGCTCCGCCCGCACGCCTGGGCCGTGTCCCGGTCTCCTGGTGTCCCCGCCGGTCCCTGAACGCCCCCCGGTGTCGCCCCGGTGCCCTCGGCGCTCACCGGGCCCCCTCAGCCCGCCCGGGCCCCTCAGCACCGCCCGCAGCCTCAGCAGCGACATCCCGGGCCACGCGCGCCGACNNNNGGCGCGCCGGGAGCGCGAGTCCCGCCGCGCCGAACTACAGCTCCCATGGTGCAGCGCGGCCGCGCCCCCTGGCGGCCGTGGCGGCCCCGACGGGTGGGTCGGGACGGGCGCGGGGACCGGGACACGGCGGAGGGACCGGGGAACGCGGGACCCCGGCAGACCCGCGCCTCTCCAGCCCGAGCTCGGCGCGTCTCGGGTCGGCCCACAGACGGACATCACCGTCCCGTCTAAGCCACAGCAGCCCCGCGCCTCTCCCCGCGCTCTGTGCCCGCAGCGCTCGTCCCTTGCCCGCCCATCGCGGCTGACGGCGGATACCGGAGTGTGCCGTCCCCAACCGGGCGCCCCGCGGTCGCAGGCGAGTGACCGGGACCGGTGACCCGGGGCAGCCGTCGGGGCGCGGATTTATGAATGGGAGGCACCGCCCCAGCCCCCGCCCCGCCCATTCGCCGCCCCGCCCCGGGCCGCCATGAGGCGTGGGGGCCCCGCCGCCATCGCCGCCTGCCTCGCCGGGGCACTGGCCGTGCTGGCGGGGCCGGGACCGGGACCGGGCAGTGCCACCGGGACCGGCCGGCGGCCCCCCCGCAGCTACGGGCACCTGGAGGGCGACGTGCGCTGGCGGCGGCTCTTCTCCGCCACCCGCTTCTTCCTGCGCATCGACGGCAGCGGCGGCGTGGAGGGAACGCGCTGGAGGGAGCGGCCGGGCAGTGAGTGGGGACGGGACAGGGACCGGGACGGGACGGGCCGGGGAGAGCCGGGATCTGGGGCCGCCGCCGCCCACGGCGGGCGGGAGCGCGATCGCACCGGCTGCCGGGGCTGCGGCGGAGGCCGGACGGAGGCGCCTCGGGGGGGGCGAGGGGAGCCCTCCATGGCCAACCCGGAGAGAGCCCGCGGCTCTTCCCTCGGGGGAAATCTCGGCCGAAGTGCCCGGTCCTCCGGGGCCGCGGGAGCGGCGGGTCCCCGCTGTCCGCCGGTGCTCCGGGAGCGCAACCGGCGCCGGCTGCCCGAGCCCCCGTCACTGACAGAGGGAGCCGTGAGAGGGGCGCGGACACCGGCGGGCACTGCCCGGGCACCCGGCGTTGCTTTCCCAGCGGCTGGCGTGTCCTAGGGGGTCTCTCGGGGCTCCTTTGTCCCGTCTCCTCCTGCCAGGTCACGATGCCCCCCTGCCCTGCCTGCCCCACGGACTGGGAGGATCTGATCGTTCCCCCACGAACACGCTGGGGGAAAAAGCTGAGGAGGAGGAGGGGGGATGTAGGAGCTTTGCGGTGATGCTGGTCCCAGAATGGGCATCTGTCCGATGTGGGACAGCAGAACATCCCTGTCAGAGGGGACCACGGAGCTGCCGCTGCCTGCAGAGCAGCTTGGGACTCAGGACAGCTGGGTGGGCAGAGGGACAGAGTCCCCAAGGACGTGGCAGTCCCTGCATGGCTCCAGCAAGTCAGGGTGCCCAGGTATCAGCTGGCCATCGGGGTGCAGGGTCCCAGCCCCTGGGACAGGGATGGGGACACCAGGCTGGCAGGACAAGGACGAGGATCTTGGAAAAAAGATGCCTGGGAAAGGGGGATGCCTGAGCATCCCCCAGGTGCCCTGACAGGGTGTTGGGCTTGGGGGCAGGAGGGCTGCAGCACCCCCAGCCCGTGTCCTGGTCCAGCACAGGACACGGGAGCCAAGCCCAGCCCAGGGAACCCTCCTGCGGTGTCGGAGGCTGTCGGGAGTCCCGAGCAGGCACTCAGCCAGCACAAAGCACCCCAACACGTTCCCTCGATGGTGTGGCCGTGGGACCTGGCAGGCAGAGCAGCTCCGGGCTGTACACGAGGCTCACTCTGCTTATCTGCGTGCGCCTGGGCTGGGCGCGGGCTCTGCTCCACAGCCCTCGCAGAAGCTGCTGGACCAGCCCCACTGGCAGCTCTAGGGTGGCAGGGGATCTTCCAGGGACTCCCCCACCTCCTGGAGACCCCTCTGGGGCTGAGTGTGACTGGCAGCACTGGGAGCTGGCCCTGACCAGGTGCTGGCCGGGCACCTGCAAGCAAAGGGCGGCAGAGCCGGCCGGAGCGCTGGGAACAGAAGGGGGTTATTTTTAGAAAAGCACAAGTCCTTATAAATAGCAGCAGCTTCAGACAGTGATCAAGTGGGATGGATTCACAGGCGTTTGCTCAGCCCTTCCCCTCCGCAGCCCTCGCCAGTGCCTTCCCGTGGCAGCACCGAAGCAGCTGGGCTGAAAATCCCGGGGGAGCCGAACGCTCGGGAGCCCTCCACGGCCCCAGTGCTGTGCCCACCCTGCCCTCCCAGCCTCCCGCAGGCAGGTGATGCCCAGGGAACGCCAGCAACGCCAGAGATTGATGAAAGCCCTTCCCCAGGGGCTGCAGCCCCCACGCTGTGTGTGCCACCAGCCTGAGCCTCTGTGTGTCCTCCCACCCTGTCCAGCCCCTGCAGTGGTGCCCAGCGGCCGATCCTGCTGCGGCTCCAGCCCTTCCTGCTGCCCTGCCCGCATTGCTCTCGCTGCACATTCCTTCTCCCCTTCCCAGCGAGCCGTGTGCCCGGCGGGCGGGCAGCGGCTCTCCGGGCTGGCCGGCGTGAGGCAGCGCAGGAATCCGGGGGCCCCGATGATGCTCTGGGTGTTTCCCCGTGCCAGAGCCGCTGGTCTGACCGCATGCCTTTCCCATTAGCGGCCGAGCCGGAGCTCGGCGGTCGGGGCACACGCACGCCAGCCCGGCTGTGGCTGCAGCCGCCCCCCGGGCTCATCCTCGTGTCCTGCCGAGCTCCTCCACCCGCCAGCCCACAGTGCTGGGCACGGGGCTGCTTGTCCTCGCTTGTGCCACCAGGAAATCGGGTATCCACGCACGGCACTGTCCTGGCCTGTTCCTGTCCCCGCGTGCCTTCATCCACCAGAACACGATGTGTGCTCTCGCTGCCACCCCCATGGACACTTGGCCCTTTCAAGAGCCACGGCAGCCTCAGTGCCCCGCGTGTGCCCGGGCTGGGCACTGCAGGAGGAGGGTCAGGGCCCCGGAGCACCGAGCTGGGGGTGGATGAACGGGCAGAGCTGCCAGCGAGGGGAGGACACACGTGCCATGTGCTTGGCATCGCTCCCGCACAGCCTGGACCCTGGGGAGGAGAGGAGTAAAGATCAAACCTTCCTTGGATCAGAGGTTCCTCCGCCCACTCCCAGCCCTTGTTCCTCTGGATGAGGATCAGCAACTCCCTCCCCGTAGAAGGACACTGGAGCCAGCAGGGGCAGGGCCCCTCGGCGAGGTCGCCCGTCCCTCCCTGGCTCACGCCGCGCTTCCCTGTCCTGCAGGCATCGTTGAGATCCGGTCGGTGCGTGTCGGCGTCGTGGCCATCCGGGCGGTGCACACCGGCTTCTACCTGGCCATGAACAAGCGGGGGAGGCTCTACGGGTCGGTAGGTCGGACGCTGCCTCCTGGGAGGGACTGCACCAGGGCAGAGTTGGAACAGGGTCCTGCTTTCCCGTGCCCTGACCCGCTCCCACCCAGCCCCTCTGCCCCTTGGGGACCAGAGGGGAGCCAGGGTCCTGCCCTGCCCCGCTCTTGGGGTCCGAGGGGCTCCAGCTGAGCGTAGCCACCCCTCACCCCCTTCCCTCTCCTGCCAGAAGGAGTTCAGCCCCAACTGCAAGTTCACGGAGCGCATCGAGGAGAACGGCTACAACACGTACGCGTCGCTGCGCTGGCGGCACCGCGGCCGCCCCATGTTCCTCTCGCTCAACAGCAAGGGCAGGCCACAGCGAGGGGGCAGGACGCGCCGGCAGCACCTCTCCACACACTTCCTCCCCATGCTCGTCAGCTGAACGCCGTGGGCAGCTCCAGACGGTCCTGTAGGAAGAGAAAAAAACCAACAAAAAATGTTATTTTATTTATGTATATATCTATTTTTTGCTATTTATTGCTTTATTTTTAATGCACGGCAGAGGAGGGATGTGGAAGGCAGATGCTCCAGACTCAGCCGTGTGGGGCTGTGGTTCTCCCACTGGTCCCAAATTTGCCCTAAACCAGGACACCCCGGCACAGAGCCGCTGTGGTGCAGCTGGGGAACACGACTGGAGCAGGGGCCAGGATCTGCTACTGGCATCTCTGCAGGGCTGGGATGTACCAGCAGGTTGTCTGTGTCCGAGCTTCCGTGGCAATTAAAGCTGTGTTCATGGTATGGAACAGGAGCAGGTCTTGGAGCTTTGATGGCGAACTTGGCTTGGGATGGGAGGGATTGGCTCCCGTGTGGTTGTGGCTGCAGCCACCAGTGTCATTGCTGCTACTGGCAGGGAGCCCAGCTGGTCCTTTGCCACATCCAGCTTTTCATTGACCCCCACCCGCCCTGCAGGAAAACAGCCACGGTGGTTCAGTGGCACAAAGGAGGGAGCAGGAGGAGCAGGAGCCAGCCCAGATCCTCAGGCAGACACAGCTCCGGGGCTGTCCCTGGCCACACTCTGTCCTGCAGCCTAGCTCTGCATCTCCAGCAGAAACACAGCTGGGACAGTGGTGAGGAGCAGCCCCTCACCTGGAGGGCAGCATGGCCAGGAACAGCACCTGCACCTCAGCGTCCTGCCAGGGTACATCCTGCACCTCCTCACGCCTGCTGTGGCCAGGCCCAGCATCCCGGTCACTGTCACGTCAGACAGAGCAATGGCCCCAGCAAAAACCACCAAACTCGTTCCATTTCTGACCCAACCAGCTCCAAATGAGTCTGAGAGGGAACAGCCACTGCATTAACCATGTGGTGACTGTGGTGAGCCCCTGCCAGGTGGGCAGCAGCTGCCATGCACCCACCCTTTGCTCAGCCCACTTGAAACCCATCTGAGCACTGCTCACACATGAGAAATCATCCCCAAGCACCTGGGGGAGCCAGGACGCCCCTGTCACAGCTGAAACACAGTGGGAGAGGGAAGGTTTTTCCAGGTCTCTTTTTTTGGTGACTAAACAGCAAAGCCTTCCCTCGGTGTCAGGTCAGCCGATGGACATGTGCAGCTTCAGCTGGAACCTTCTTGCTGCCACCCACCTGAGCAGCCCAGGCTTCTGGCTCAACCCCTGGCAGAGGATGAGCCATTAACCCCGACACACCAGTCCTGAGATAAACCCTCCTGTGAGATGAAAGGTGCCGCCACACTGCCCGGCCAAGCCGAGGAAGAAAAACAGTCCGGGCAAGTCGCGCCCTGCCAGCCCCTGGCCCTGGCACAGCTGGTGACACTTTCTCCAACAAACCAACTTCTCGCGTTCTGAAATGGCTCAAGAAAGACCAAACCATCCTTCCCCCTCCTAAAGGAGGTTCGTCTCTTCTCAGGAAGCTCATGGAGGGGCCAGGTCCTGGGGTGATGCTGCTTTAGGAGACAGCCAAGCTCTGCTGGAGCCAGCACCTTCCCCAGCAGCCCCAAAAGCCAAGGGAGAGGCAGGGAACCCCCAAACTGCCAAACCCTCCACCCACTTCCCTGGCAGCTCCCATGGGGGCACGTTCTCCCTTGTCTGCTCTGGCCTCTGCCACAGAGCAGTCCCAACATGTGGCACCATCACAGACCCCCAGCCCTCTAGGAAACCTCCTGACCCCCTCAAGTGCCTGTGAGGGGAAAGGGGCTCCTATTTAGGGATGGTGAGAGCTTCTCCTCTCATGCCTCAGGGCCCAGGAAGCAGGGACATGGCAGGGAGTCACTGCCCACTCTGGTGACATTCTTGTCATTCTCTGAGCTCCAGCTCTGTCACAGAAACTGAGTCACAAACATACCTGGATATTTTTCTCTCTCTCCTTGTTTTAATCAGCTCTATTTTAAGTAGCTTTGCAATACATTTTTTTTTTTCTCCAAAATGTTGTTTTCCTGGTAATTACTCGGTCACAATGAGATTTGCTGGTCCTGGTTCTGCTGCACACCCAGTCCTGTGTCGGCCCAGCAGAACAGCCTGCCCCAGCTGCGAGGGGGGCAGGACTGTAGGGGGAAGAAGGTGTAAAAAATAGAAAACACCAGGCGAGGATGATTCCAGCTGCGATCCTTGGCTACCTGTGCAGTGATCCACAGGCTGGCAGTGGCTCCCACCAAACTCCCAGCACGCAGGAGGGCTCAGGGAGGCCCAGCCTGCCCGGGGAAGGCAGGACAGCTTGGTGGCCTCAGAGCTTACCCTGTAGCTTTCCTCAAATCATGCATAACGGCTCGCAGAGCTGAAATGTCCATTTATTGACAACAGTAATAATTTAAGATTATAAAAACCCCTTTCAGTGTTGAGTATCAGCGGGCGAGGTTATAAAGAGAAATAAAAGGGACTCGAGATGGGACAGGGAAGGATCCCGGGGTCTACTTGAGAGTTCCTGTTTCAGTGACAGCTATTGGTCCTCCCCAGATGGTGATCCTGGGGGGGGAGGCAGCATCCTTATACTTCCATTTTAGACGTCAATCTCCAAAGCAGAAAAGATAGTATCCAAGGGGAGGAGGAGCAAAAGAAATAAAAGAAAGGGATCTCAAATTCAAACCCATACAAACAACCTTTCCATTCGGGATTCAAGCACTCGCTCAGCACCTCGGGGTTCCCAGCCGGGGAGCGCAGCAGCCTCGCACTGCAATGGGTCAAGTCCACGCAAAGAGGATGTTTTTATTGACAGACAGAGCTCTTTCCCCCCTTTTTCATCACAGAACTTGAGGCTTCTCATCTCTGAAGGACCCAGAGGCTCCGTGTCTTCAGAAATCAAAAGGAAATTCTGGGGGCACTGCTCCTGCCTCGTCCCCTCCCCTTGCTCTGCTCTGGAAGCCCCTTTGGCTGCTCGTGGTGGCCAGGGAGGGAGAGGGAACAGTGGAAGGGCCCCGGGGACAGAGGGTGCGTTAAGATTCATGAGTTGTTCGATGAGTTTTCATTACTTGGTGAGCTGGAGGAAGAGGAGGAGGAGGAGGATGACGAGAAGTTCATCCCTGTGAGTCCTGGGGGGTTTGTGGCAGTGTTTTGTCCACTTAAACTTTTCCGGCAGACGGGACACGTGTCATGCTTTGGGGAGCAGACAAAAAACAAAACAAGAAATACGGGAAATGGGATTAGAAACACAACAGGGGAGCAGCACTCGAGGAATGGGCTGGGATGACACTCCATCCTCTGACCACAGGCTGCTGCTGCTCAGGCCTCATCATGGAGGTAGGAAAATATTTACAGAGGGGAGCAGGACCAGACAAAGCCCCAGTGCTGCCCTGCACTCACCTGCTCCAGCCACGGGACGATGCAGCCGTCGTGGAAGAGGTGATTGCACGGTAACTGCCGCACGTTCTCCCCCACTGTGTAGTCTTCCTTACACACAGGGCACTCCAACCCGGAATCTGCATGGCACAGGGAAAGCCAAGCCCAGCTGAGCAAAGGAGGAGAGAACAACGCACAAAGCCCCCGGCTCAGGACTCATCATCCCTCTCCCCTTCCCTGCCACAGCTCCATCCCTGTCAGGAGGAAAGCGTGGTGCTCTGCAGTCCCCACACCATCACCCCAGCTCCCCCTGCCCAGGCTATGCCTCATCCTTCCCTTCCCTTTTGCTTTTCCATCTCTATCCACACTGAACTTCTCACAACCTCCCCAGGGCAAATCTGTCCAGCCTACACGGCTCTTTTTTTGTGTGAGTGTAACACAGCCACTTCAGCTCTCTGCCCATTTTGAAATGTTTTATGCCTCAAAGGTACAAACAGACAAAATTCAAGTCCCAAGAAAACATTACAGAGAGCAGCCAGTGAGCACCCTGTGCACAATTTCATGGAGCAGGCACATACCTACGTGCTCCTGTGTGATCTGTATGGTGGGGAGGGCCTGGATCTTCTCTTTGTCCGCTGGCGGCGGTCCAGTGTTTTCAAACTGATTCAGTAACTGGAAAAACAACCAGCCAGGCAGGCAGAAGGGAGAGGTGAGCTCAGCAGCACACAGAATCCACTCGTTTCCTAAGCCAGGGCACCTGAACCCTGCACTGGATCCTTTCCCAGCCCCTCATTCCCTGCACCCCCATGGGTGCAGCACAGGAGGATGGGGCCTGCAGTGAACCCCACTTTTACCTGTGTGATAATCGCATCCAGGCCGTTGGCACCCCAGGCGTAGTCCATTGGATTTGAGTGCAGGACTCCCCTGAAGAGCAAGGACAGCAAGTGAGTTCATCCTGGAGCACCAACGAGACACTGTCAGAGAGAGCAGCACATCCTCCAACTCACCAAGGGCCCAGGCCTAGGTTTGGAATTGTGGTCGGTGCAATAATTCCATTAACCAGCTGCTGGATAATTCTGAAAGACAAGGAAACCAGGATTGTGTAAGAATTAAAGTTTGCTGGCTCCCAGCCCAGCACCCCAGCGTGGAGGGAGAGGCTGAGTAAGTTGAATACTGTCACATGGTTGGGGGCAATTAAAAATACCCTACAGCAATTGCAATGGCAGCTTAGGGAGTGACCAGCCACTGATAAAAGTTTCAGTATTTGATTCATAAGGGGACAATTCCTGACATGGTGGCAAATGGCTCCCAGGATGCACTTACACAAACACTGTCTGGTGTTGCCTTCTGCTTCCCCTCACGGCAAGTACAACATTTTTGCAACACCTGGCAACGACCAGGGAATATTTTCCCACTACAGGACAAACTCCCAAGCACAATCCACATCACCACCCAGCTGCAACAACCCCAACAGACCCCAAAAGCAAGAGCTGCCAACAGGCTCAGCCGGGACACAGAGACACCCACGGCACTGCTGGTGAACGACACCCACGGCACTGCTGGCGAACGCTGCTCCCACAAGCCAGGAGGAAAGGTGAGGAAAGGCTCCCTGCTGAGTGGTTCTCACCCTTCCAGCGTGGGCACGCCCTCGTGCCTGCCCGAGGCGCGGCGCGCGGCCA